GCTTTGACACATCCTCTTAGCATTCTTTCTTTAAACAAGATAATTCTCCTGGCTAAAACAAGAAGAAAGATAACTAATTATTCAGCTGATGATTGAAACACATTCATTACTTTATGGACAAGCTGATCTTGACTAATATCAAAAGCTGGTACTGCCAGGGATGTGCTTGTGAGCACCAGATTTGGAAATGCTGGTTCACAACTTTGTACTATCACTGAAGGTTCCAAACACCTGCAAATTAAAGAAGTTTGGAATTAAACCAGTACATTTCTTGTTTGTCTGTTGTCACAACCTCAAAATTAAGAGTAAATTATTTTTGCAGCACCTCATAGATGGAGGGAAAGAACCGAGAAAATAGGTGTGCCTAAAGTATTATCTTTTATGGGTTGTTCAACTTCAAAGTTGTCTTTTGAAAGAAGAACCCTGGTAAGACGATAACACCTCACTTAACCTTTCCTAATAGACACAATAAAATTATGACTACACTTTTTACCATGCTTTAGCAACTAATAACAAAGTATACAAACTTTAGAAACTTAAACTATATAGACTCTGTTATTAAAAAAAGTTAAATAGCTTACCAGTGGTAGAGATATTTTTGAGTTTTCAAAGAAAACAAACACAGAACACCATGGGGAACATCACTTGGATTTTCCATTAGTCTCTCTGGTTTGAAACAGAGTAAGAATGAAGCTGGAGTCGCCCATATTCCCTCCAACTTGTACATTTTCATCCAGTCTTCACATTTAACAAAAATGGTTTTCTGTAAAATCTCATGGGATGGCAATACTTCAGGTTGAGTCTCTTCAGCCTCCCCCTTTTCTCCTTTAAATCCACTCATGTTGCTACAGCTTTTTGCGGTTTGTTTACCACAACTACTCAATGCAACCAACAGATTTCCAACATCAGGACCAACTAGATCAGAAAACCACCTTTTCTTCACTGTTGGCTTACAAAAATGGCTTACATCTAGGAAAAGAAGCAAACAAAATGTCAGATATCAGATGTCATAGGTATAGAGGAATCTGAGAAAGAAAGCTATAACTGTCACAGCCACCACCACTAAGTTTACATGATGTTTCTGCTTTGGATTTAGTTAACATTACCTTATAAGAGGGTCCCCTATACCCTTTGTAAAGCTAAGTCAAGTAGAAATATTTGGCCTTTTCAGGAGAGGGGGGACAGGGGGTCAGAGTCTGCCACTTCCCACGCCATGTTCTCCTGCATCTGGTACTTTTATGCCCCTTTGCCTCCCAACTCCCGCCCTTCATTGTGTTGCTCCTGTCTTCAGGTTAACCAGGAGAATCTTTTTTTTGGGATTGTGCCGTTGTACAGAGCAAGCTCCCAAGGTCTTCCATGAACAGATTTTTTCATGGCCACAACAAAAAATTCTGAAGCTGATTGATAAAGTCTTTGATGACATTTGACCTGAATGACCCTGAATTGCTTTCTTTGCTGGAGATTTTTGACAGCTATAGCTTACCAGACACTGTACATGTCATGCCATCTCATGATCAATGATAAAACCAAATTGAAGGGATTTCCAAATTCACCAGAAGTAATGCTGTTTTTCCAGCCCGAGTACAAATTTACGTTTTCTTACCTCCAAAATTTTCTTTTAGGCATTGGTGGATGTTAAATGGAATTTTCAAAACTTTACTAGATAAGTGTCTTTGACTGAATAATACCCAGTAATAAACAACAAACTATCACCTTATTTATTTCTGCTCCTGCTTCCCACCCTCATGTAGATACTGTTTCCTGCCCTCTGTTCTCCCGCTTCCCTCCCTCTCCCGCCCCCTGTTCTCCCAGGCTCCTGCCCCTCTGTCCCACTTCACCTTTCACACATCATGCACAATGTCTGATTTTTTTCAGGTTCATGCAAAATTCAAATGATCATGTTTCACATTTTAATTTAATAAAAACCACATTCATAGCTGACTCCCACCTGTACCCTTTTCACAGCAGGCTTGCTTTGCACCCTTCCTGAAAGCCAATATCTCTGTTTTCCACACCCTGTCCCCATAGGCAATATCAGACATTTCTGCATTACGGGCCACAGAATCTTCATCTCCTAATTCATACTGAAACTTTACGCATGAAAAAGAAGGACCTTTGATCCTAGAGTGGGTTGGACCAATCTGCTGAGAAGGGAACTCTTTAAAATGTTCATCAAGGTTTACCACAAAAATATTGCTGTTACCATCAGCACAAACAAGAAAGGAGAGATCATCAGATACTTCTAAGTATACAAAAGTTGGTCTCTCTTGGACTGCAACATAATCTGAAAAAAAATGAGCTCTGATAGTAAGGCACTGTCTTTTAAAGTGCACCTAAACCCCCAAATTTTTTTTGCTTAACAAAATAAGCATATTTTTTGGAGTATTTCTGTGCAAAAAAATTTTTATTTGCTCAAATCTTCAATTTTCTGTGCCCAGTCAAAATACAGAAAATCGGCCGCCATCTTGCCCCACGACCGAGTTTAAACAGGAATGGCTCTAGCGGGTAATGTGACGTCCCTCGAGAGGTTTACTTAGTACGCTAGTACGCTAGTACGTAGGTATTCCTGCTCGCTCGAGAGGTTTAGTTAGTACGCTAGTACGTAGGTATTCATGCTTGCTGGAGAGGTTTACTTAGTACGCTAGTACGCTAGTACGTAGGTATTCCTGCTCGCTTGAGAGGTTTAGTTAGTACGCTAGTACGTAGGTATTTATGCTTGCTCAAGAGCTGTAGTTAGTACACTAGTACACTAGTACGTAGGTATTCCTGCTCGTTCGAGAGTTGTAGTTAGTACGCTAGTACGTAGGTATTCATGCTTGCTCGCTCGAGAGGTGTAGTAAGTACGCTAGTACGTAGGTATTCCTGCTCGTTCGAGAGTTGTAGTTAGTACGCTTGTACGTAGGTATTCATGCTTGCTCGCGAGAGGTTTAGTACTGTTAGTAATGTAGTACTGATGAAAGCTGTTAGTAGGGTAGTACTGATGAATAAGCAAAAATCTACAGAAAAGCATTCCTATAATGGGCAGCATATGGTTTTCATCATCCCTTCCAAATTTTGCTTAATGCAACAATCACTATCAACAGGTCTTTAGTACAGCTATGGGTTCACCTGTCCTTGCTGTCATTGCTAATAATTATGGTAATGGGAAGATCTAGAACAAAGGGCTTTAGCCACTTCACCAGTTAAACCCTTGTTCTGGAAATGATATGTCAATGATTTCATTTCAGCAGTATCCAGAAATGAAGCAGAACACCCCCTATTACATTTGGATTCAGTGGAGCTGTCTATCCAATTCACCCTTGAGTGCGAAAATGATAGACACTTGCTCTTTCCTGATTTAAATCTGTGCTAAGAGGAACAGGAGAAACTAGAGACAAGTGTTTATTACAAACCCACCCAACAAATATCTTGCTTTTGACTCTCACCACCCTATTTGCCATAAAAAGTCCATAGCTATAACTTTACTCAGGAGGGCTGACTGTCTACCATCTTCACTTGATTCCAGGGTTGAGGAGAGAAAATATGTTTTCCTAAAGGCAAATGGCTATACCTAAACATTTGTCCGTTACTACCAGAAACCAGTTACAACTAGTAACAATCTTGATGAGAAGGAACCAGCAAATGGTTTCCTTACATCCAGAGTGTTATGGAGCCCATCAAGAGAATTTTTAATAACCACAATGTTAAAGTTGCTTAAAACCTTTTCAGACTTTGGGACATAATTTTGCCAAACCCAAGGATCCTGTTATGAAAGAACAATGAAACCCATGCCATTTATTCTATTCCATGCAATGACTGTGATCATGAGTATATCAGACAGACCAAATGTCAGTTTGGTACATGTTTGAGAGAGCATCAGATAAGTGGTCTCCTTTTGCAAAAAAAGAAAATTCAGCTTTGTCGGAGTACACATCCCTTACTAACCATATAATTGGGTGAGATAATTCTGAAATTATCACCACCAATCGCCACTACCACCAACGCCTTTGTTTGGAAGCTTGGCATATCAACTCACACTCATTTAAATCATGCTCAACTCGTTGTCACCGAAAAACCCTCTTTAGGGAGTGTCAATAAAGTTTGTATTGTATTGTATTGTATGATGATGGTGGCTTACTACCTGATGCCTATTTTAACACCTCGTCAGAAAAAAGGGAAGCTAACTAGTCAGCATATAAAAGGGCCTCTTGTTGCAATGATCAGATCACCCCTGATAAAGGCAGTAGACAGGAGCGTTGAAACACTGGGTCAATGAATTACAATTTCCCCAGTTACATTCATTAAATCTTTAAACCAGAGCAGTATCAAACCATGTCTGATTGTCCACCTGGTTGCTGTGTGAACTTTAATGTACCGGTAATCATAATTAATTACTTTTCACATAATATTATGAAGTTTTCAAAGATAATGATTTCTAGCAATATAGAATAAACTTATTCCTCACCATCAATTTAAAAAACTTAATACAAAAATTACAATTGCACCTAATCACCCTTCTTGCCTTTCTACATGAAGAATCAATAAAATTTATGTGGATTTTTCATCTTAAACTGCTGATAAAAACTTACATAGTAAGTTGTGAACCTACCTTGAGCTGAAAAGCCAACTGAAGGCCACACATCGATTGAACCAACAAAATCAGCCATCTTGTGTATGACTTGTTGAAAAAGTTAAGAAAACTGCTTTAAGAAAAAGGAGTGTATGAATGTCCCCTGCTCCTCTTATTTAAGTTAAAAACATACATGTGTACCTCTCTACAGTGGTTGCCTCTGCACACATAGTTACAGTAACTATAAAATGAATATACAAGTTTTGTTTGTGTGGAAAAAGTGTTCAGTTAATGTCATAAATTTTAGAAAATACAAGACATGCTACTTTCTTCTCTTGGGCTCTAAGGGGTGATTTTTGGACACAACAAGTTTTCTAGGTTTTTGAGCAATTCCAAAGAGGTCTTTATTATTTTTTGGTTTCTTTTGAACAGACATCTAGCATAACAATCCATTTTGTTGTATGAAAAGTTAGTTTAGTGCATGTTAATACAGTGTCTGTTCCTCTATGGGGTATGGCTGTGAAACCCAATCCTGAAGCAGCATAGGTGTCCATAGTAATAGTAATAATAATAATAATAATAATAATAATAAAATATTTATATAGTGCACAATCCACTATTTGTCCATGGTGCTTTACATCAATAAGTTAAAAATCATCTAAAAATTAAAAGAGTTAAAAAGCTTGTTTAAAAAGATATGTTTTTAAATGTCATTTAAAAATGTCTATCGAACTACTAGATCTTAGTACAAGTGGGATCAAGTTCCATAGTCTCGGTGCCGCCACAGCAAATGCTCCCTCTCCATAATGTTTTCAGTCTAGCTTTC